GGACTAGTGAACCAAGAAAAGTCATCTGCTCAGTAGATATTAAAAAGAGAGATGACTTCTACTCTTGCTTTTTACTTCTCTCCTGAATATATGTCATGGAATTTTCTCTCTTGGACATATTGTGGAGGGGAGAAAAGCCCCCTTTTTCCCTCCCCTAGTAACAATGGTGGCCATTTGAACATGATAGCAGACATGCATTGGCAGGGTTGCATGACAGTTCCTCTGCAGCTGCCGCAGTCTCTACCAATTATCCCCCTCCCTTCCCTCAATTTATTATTCTGAGACAACAAGCAACAGAACTCAACTTGTTGTCCCCCCTCCCCACCTTTCCTCCAGCCATGCAGCTGAGGTTGAAACAAAGGAAAAAAGAAGGCTTGCTCAGCCTAGGGTGGCAGTACTCTGATGGTGCTATAGCAGTAGTTGGCCAGAAAACCAAGGAATGATGAGACCTAGGACAAGGAACCAATATGTACACCAAGCTTGAAAGAAAAGAGACTGTCATCTATCCAGCTGAGGCTGGTACTGCCTCTTCAAAAGTCCCTTGGAACAAAGACAGACCAGGTGGAAAGTTAATTCCCTAAATTTGTTTTGCATGATTATGTTTTTGTAATGAATTTTGTTTTTCTTGCCTTCTCGATGGGCAGAGGGAGGTGGGAGGGAAAGGAGGCAAATCTGAAAATAAAATCAAAGTGAATTTTTAAAAAGTTAATTTCCTAGTGTGGGAGGGAGATGAGACAGCTTTTAGGGCCATTGAAATCTGCCATTGAAAGAGGAGTTAGAAAATAAGAGGTACAGGAGTATAAGAAAAAAAGATGGAAATTATTCAAGATCTCAGGAGGAAGCAAACTCAGTTAAAAAAAGTTGAGCACATTGTAGAAAAACCAACAAGGAAGATAATAATAGAAGGAAAGATGGCTTCCAGATCATCTAAACCAGTACAAATATCTCTGAACACAAACATTTCTGAATATAAACATCTCTGAATAAACATTACCAGACAAAGGAAGATGAATCAACGCCTAATGAGCCAGAAGACCCTGGGGATTCCTAAGAGAACAAGGAAACACAGCAGGAAGTTCCTGAATGGATTAAGGGAGAATTAAGATTTGTAAGAGCTGAGTTTATGGTTTGCATGGCAGAAATAATGGGCAAAATAGAACAACCAGGATCTACAGTGACAAATCTCACCAAAAGAGATGACAATTAATTGGGAATGTAAATACATAGAAGGAAGGACAATTTGGAAAAGAGAAGTAAAAAACAAAAACATCAAAAGAAAGCATGAGATCTTTATATAAGCAAAACATTGATTTGGAAGACTGCATGTGTTGCAACAATTTAAGGATTACAGGTCTCCTAGAAGGATAAGAAAAATAAAACAAACAAACACATTTGAATACTGTAAGGCAAGAAATAATACAAGAAAATTGTTCAGAACTTCTGAACATGGGAAACAAAGTGCCAATCAAAAGAAGCCACAGATTGCCTCTAGAGATTTAGGGGAGTATCTTGAAGAGAACACTACACCTTAAATCTCTTCAGTAAGGGGAAATCCACTACCTCACAAAGCCTTTCATTTTGGATAGATCTAATTTTAGAATCAGAGAAATCATGGAGACACACAATGGAATTTAATTTTAGATTTGGAGCTAGAATGGTCATTAGAGGGTATTTCTAATCTAACCCTCTCATTTTACAGATGGAGAAATTGAGACTCAGAGAGGTTAAGTGGCTTGTGCAAGGTCACATAGATAGTGACAAAGGCTGGATTTGAACCCAGATGCTCTGACTCTAAATCCTACATGCTTTATCACATTTTATTAGGGAATGCCCAGGAATGGCATAGAGATGACTGAGAACTGGCATGGTGAGACTGAGACTAGGCAAATGATAGGGTGAAATGCTTACCAATCAGAGACCAGGGTCACAGGTTGGAAGTAGAGGGTGGAGAGGAGTGGGATGGCATGAAGATGCCCAGGAAGTGGCATAATGGGCTTAAGACTGGGCAAGATTAGGTGAAATGGTTACCCATCAGGGCTGGTTTCTAGAATCCCTAGGTAATGTAGGTGGATTATGCATCTGGTACATTGGCATGGATGTCAATTCCTGTCCACACTCTCTAGACTCCATCTCTATGAAGAGCTGAAGGTCCCACTCCTGTCACCCTGCACCAGGGGTAAGGAACCTGCAGCCTCGAGGCCACACACATGGCCTTCTAGGTCCTTGGGTGCGGCCTTTTGGCTGAGTCCAAGTTTTACAGAACAAATCCTTTCATTAAGGGGATTTGTTCTGTGAAATTTGGATTCAGTTGAAGGGCCTCACTTGAGGACCTAGAGGGCCACATGTGGCCTTGAGGCTACAGGTTCCCCACCCCTGCCCCAGATGGTGATGGGTAAGGATTTCCCCTTATCCTGAGCCCAGTATCAGGCCTACTACACAACTTCTGGGTCATCTTCATGCCATGCCATTTTCTCTCTATCCTCTACCAGTGTGTCTGGAAGCCATTCTAGGCAGAGCTTGGGGTAAGACTTAAAAGCATTAGTATTCTTAGTAATGATCATAAGAAACTATAAACAACAGATCTCAGAGGCTAGGTTGAGGAAATTTGATTTCAAAAAGATGCTAGACATCTGAGTAGTGTGTATCAATTCTTCCTAGATCCTTTTTGTGTCTATAAACCTTTAGATGTCAAAGCTTTTAGAATCCATAAGAATGCCTTAAGTAATGGGATAGTTTGCAAAGGTCTTTTCATGATGTCAATAACTTAGACTAGCAGAGTTTTAGGTTGATATGACCTATGATAGCCTATGTGGCCATCTGGCTCCTTCTCTTACTCATTCTCATCCCAGATTCTAAGGCAATCAAGGAATTACTTTGGATGTTTCCTTGCATATTACTAAAATCACAACACCTTTCCCATTAATCAATCAGCTCCTGGTCTTTGCCAAAACAGTTAATATTATTTATTAAATAAACTGGAGAAATCTCTTTCTCCATAATGTTTCCACCTTAAAACACCCTAATTTCTTAAGGTTTGGCATCTAAGTGGTGCAGTGGATAGAGTGCTGGGCTTGGAGTCAGGAAGACTCATCTTCTAGGGTTCAAATCTGGCCTCAAGACTTTTAGCTGTGTGACCCTGGGCAACTCACTTAACCCTGTTTGCCTCAGTTTCCTCATCTGTAAAATGAGCTGGAAAAGGAAATGGCAAACCACTCCAGTATCTTTGCCAAAAAAAAAAAATGGGGTCACAAAGAGTCAGACAGAGTTAAAACAACTGAACAAGAACAATTTCTTAAGGTTACTGGCTATATAAAATGTTAACAAAAATCATAATAAAACAAAGACAAATAATTATTTACAATCTTAGAGCTGTGAGAATGATCATATCCAAACTTGCTTCTATTCCTATTATTTGCTGACTTCTCAGTTCTGGAAATAGTCTCGTCACTTAGGTCTCTCAGGATGCCAATTATTAAAATATGTTCTTAAGATTTCAGCTAATGTGGCATTTAAAAAGGTTCAAGAGACATAATTTCTGGGTAATTTAATCATTTTATTAACAAAGCCAGCATGTTTATTAATAAAAGGATGGTCATTTGGCTGTCTCTCTCTTAGACCAAAGATTCCTCACAGTAGGGGGTTCACAGTTTATATGCCCTTTGAAGACTAGCTATTCCTGAGGGTGGCAATCAACTCTGATTGGTTAACAATTGATAAGAATTAATACTATAATGAGAGGGTGAGCCATGCTATAATGAAGGTCTTGGGGTACGTGACTTGGATCACTCAAGTCTTGGTCAAAAAGACTTATCAATTTCCCTATTACCTGTCTGACAAAAGGGAGAATACACATTTTCCCAGACCTGTCTGAGCAAAAATAATGAGCAGGAATGCACCCATTAGCCTAAACCTAGACTTTCTTTTACTGTCTTTGTTAGATCTCGGCCACCCTGGCTGGGTGAGTGTTTTGGAAAAATTTCCTACACTGGTTGATTCTGGAGGAGGAAGCAGAAAAGGGGAAAACTCTTGGTCCTAATACAATAATTAGTTATTAATACAAGAGAGAAATAATTATTTCTCACACTAATAATATTCTATTGTAAGAGTTAAAACTTCTCTCAGGAAAGAAGTTCTTTTAGTCTTTTTTTCTTTTTTTTCCACTTTTTTCTTTTAATTTATATTTTATTTCCCCCACTTACATCTAAAAACAATTTTCAACATTTGTTTTTAAAACTGAGTTCCAAATTCTCTCCCTCTGTCCCCACCCCCCTCTATGAGAAGGCAAACAATTTGAAATACGTAATACACGTTTAGTCATGCAAAATATATTTCCATATTAATTAGATCTTTTTTTCTATGCCCTCTCACAGTCTCTTTTCTGCTTTCACAATTAAAATAGACTTTAGAGTGATAGACAACTACCTTTCTCTCAAGAGCTTATACCCTCTTAAAGGTAAAAAATAGTTTCTATTGTCTGTGGGAGTGGTTATTGAAGCTGGTATTATGGAGATATAGACTATCTAGAACAGGGGTGGGGAGCATATGTTGCCCTCTAGATCCTCAAGTGCGGCCCTTTGATTCGATCCAAACTTCACAGAACAAATCCCCTTAATAAAAGGATTTGTTCTATAAAACTTGGACTCAGTGAAAAAGTCACACCTGAGGACCTAGAAGGCCACATGTGGCCTCAAGGCCGCAGGTTCCTTACCCCTGGTCTAGGGTCAAAAAGAACCTTAGAGATAATCTATTACAAATCTGCTCCCCAGTTTAACAGATGAGGAAACTGAGATCCAACTAATTAATTTGAAAGGGGTTGACTATTTCTAATATTAGAAATCACTCATTGGTCCCAGTTCTTACCCCAACCAGGCACTAGATGCTTTCCTGTTGACTTTTTGACTAGTGGTTATTAGAATATATTTCACCCTTTCACCTTCTTCCTCTTTCACATTTGTTTCCAAATGTGAAATAAAAGAATAAGGAAGTGGATGAGAGACAAGAGAAAGCAGAACAGTTGAAAAGCAGAGAAGATGAATTCTACTGTGCTGCCTTGGACGGACTGAGACACTGTAGTGTGAAAAGAGAATGTATCTGCTGTCAGCCCTTCTCCTTCTGTGGCTCCCAGGTGAGTGGGAGCTGAGTCTCCACACATAGGAAAAGCTCTCCTGGCAAGATTAGTTGCTGGCAGAGGGCTGATAGAGATGATGGTGCTGGAAAAAAACACCCAAGGGAAACTCTGTAGCTAGTGTGTGCGTACAGGAGAGCTTTTCCTATGCTTGTGTGTATGTGTGTGTATATATGCATGTGTGTGTATATATGTATGTGTATGTATATACGTATGTGTGCATATATGGTGTATACATATACACACACACATATAGACATACACATATAAATAAATAAATAAGACTATTTATCTATCTATCTATCCATCCTGATGTCCCCTTCTAGAAGTTCTTTTGAATGACTTTAGGATTGCTTCTCCAGGAAAATCCTTGTACTACCATTTCAATTAATCAGTCAATCATTCTTCAAATATTTATTATCTTCTATGTGCTTATAATCTCCATTGAAAAGTGTACATTTACTGAAAACCAAATGAGCTCCCCATAGAAAAACTATGCCTCCCCAGCAGTTGACTACCCAAAAAGGAGACCAACAGTTGTATTTTGCCACACAGACATCAAACACCAAGTAAAGGTGTTTTCTGTATTCTTCACAGAGTCAGTGAATGTATTTACCCGGTTTCTTTTAGTTACTTTCAACAGTTTATGGAAGTAAGAGGATACCTTGAGGAAGAAGGGAGTGTGAATGAGGGATTTGAAAGAAGGAAAGGTAGAATTTGCCAGGCAGGGAGTACAGGTGATTCTGGACAAACAGCCAAGAGAAGGCAGCGTGTGTGGCACACCGGAAGAAGCCCGAGTTCTGGAATAAGAGGTCATGGGTTCAAATCCTATCTCTGATGTTTATTTATGATTTTGGACATGTCATTTATCCTCTCTGGGCTCATTTGTAAAGTGAGGCTGTTGGATTAAATACCTTCTGAAGTTTCTTTCAGGTCTACAATCCCAAGAAAAGAATGTAGGAAGCTGGGCAAGCAGATTGGTTAAAATGGAGGTCATCTGGGGCAGAGGAAAGAAGAAGGGAGACAGAGGGGGTTGCAGGAATTGAATGAGGGGTAAAATTGTTATTCCCACTATTGTACTGTAAGAAATGATGAAGGGGATAGTTTCAGAAAAAACCTGGGAAGACTTGTATGAACTGATGCAAATGAAATGAGTAGAACCAGAATAATTTATATGATATATTATGTATATAATATAACATAACGACATAATATAATAACTATTTAAATCAACTTTGAAAGACTCAGTAACTGATCAACAAAATGACCGACCACAATTTCAAGGGACTCATGATGAAACATGTTATCTATCTCCAGATAGAGAACTAAAGGATTCAGAATGCAAATATGAACCATATTTCCTTCCCTTCCTTCCTTCCATTCTCATCCTTCCTTTCTTTCTCTTTTTTTTTTTTTTGCATGGGGGGGGGGAGAGTACATGGTTAATGCAAGAATTTGTTTAGCATGACTTTACTTATTTGTAATAGATTTTGTTTTTCTTGCCTTCTCATTGCGGGGGGGAAGAATTTAGAACTGAAAATAAAATAATATAGAATTTTAAAAAATGTTATTCCTAAAGTAATGGAGACCCTATAGAAAGGGAATAATGTACTTGTGGCAAATCCGGAAGGGAAATTCTTTCTCTAATAATAATAATATCAATTAAATAAATTTATTTAAGCACCTATTTTATAGAAGGCATTATGCTACACACCAGAGTTCAAATCCCATCTCTGTCACTTATTAATTCTGTGACCATCCAGAAGTTGTTTTACTCCTCTGAGCTTTAGTGTCCTCATTTATAAAATGAGTTAATAATGGAGCCTACTTCACTGGTTTAGTACTGGATCTGTGGGGCAGTATGGTAGATTAGACAGAAAGCCAACCTTGCATTCAGGAAGAGATTACATTTTGAATCCGTATGACAAGCTTATATAGGCTAGTATTGCTCTCCTACTTGGTCCCAAGAGCTTCAAGTCTCACTGATCAGCCCTCACCGAAGAAACATGTCTTCTCCCTAGAGTAAGGAATGCTCTCTCCTTCATTCTTACCCTATTTGTAAGTTCTAAATAAAATATGACTTATGACTTTGGCTACGTCACTTAGCACTTTTTGGGAAGGCAATTGGGGTAACACAGCTAGTAAGTATTTGAGGTCACATTTGAACTCAGGTCCTCCTGACTCCAAGGCTGGTGTTCTATCCACTGCACCACCTTGCTGCCCCAGTTTAGCATTTCTACAGGCCATCAGGGTTTATAATAGGTAAATGAGACTTAAATTGAAAACGACAGCCCCTCCTCTTAAGTCTCTTCCCCAAGACAGGTTATATAAGCAGACGTCTATTAAATGCATACTGCACTCAGAACACTGGGCTATGGGAGGGGGGAGGATTGAAAAGAGGGAGGGGAGAGTGTCTGCAGCATATTTCATGGCCTTTTGGATGAATCCACTCTACTTTGGGTGTCAAATCTGAGTGTATCAGGACCACTATTCCCCTGAGGAGCTACCTCCAAAGCAGCAGGCTAGCATCCAGAGCATATGCTTACAGTCCTTCATAGTCAGCAAGCATTTATTAAGCTTCTACTATGTGCCAGGCACTATGCTAAGTGTTGGGGATGCAAAAAAAAAAAAAAAAGGAAAAATTCAAGCCCTGCCCTCAAAGAGCTTACAGTCTAATGGGAAGAGACAACATACAAACAATTGTGGACAAATAAGATATACATAAATAATTGGATAAATTGGAAGTAATCTTAGTGGAAAGGCAATAGAATTAAGAAGGACCAGGAAACTTCTATGCCATGCCAGGGATTCTCTTGGGAAACATGCCTGCTTCCTGATGGGCCGCTTAGCGATAATGATAATAATGATAACAACAGTAGCTATGTAGTGATTTACACATGCCAATTCATTTGATCCTCACAACAACCCTGTGAGGTAGGTGCTATGTTATTATTATTATTATACAGATGAGGAAACTGAGGCATAGAGAGATTAAATAAAGTGCCCAGCATCAAATAGCTATGGAGTATCTGAGGCAGGATTTGAACTCAGATTCTTCTCATCTGAGGGCATAGGCTCTATCCACTGCACCACTTAACTACCTCTGCTAATAAATCATCAGCTCCTTCTAGTTCATTTTTCTAAACATTAACTTTCTCGCACGCTGAGGCCATTGCAACATCTAGGCTTCTTTGGCAATTTACTCTAGCTCACATTAAAGGTGCTCACGGCCCCTGCGGGTAACTGTACTCAGGGGCTGCTTTCAGTTCAGTGGTTTTAGCCCTGAGGAAATGAGATCCTGGGTTTATATTTTTCAGGTTGTTTCTCCGACGAAGCGGTATGGGGCCATCAACATGTGAGGTATGAAGAGAATAGTTTGGCGACCATAACGTGTCATTATGCCTCAGGATGGGAGGATTACGTGAAGTGGTGGTGCCGAGGAGCTGTTTGGAGTTCTTGTGAAATTCTTGTTAAAACCACAAAACGGGTTAGCACGAATGGCCGTGTGTCCATCCAGGACGATACCACGGCGCGCAGGTTCACGGTGACGATAAGAAACATCAGAAAAGAAGATGAAGGCGCTTATTGGTGTGGGATTGAGAAGGCAGCAGTTGACCGTGGATTCCAGATTGAAGTGACTGTTTTCCCAGGTACGAGACTCCTGTGGAATGTTTGTGAGGTCTTAGGGCTCTGGGTTGGAGAAGCAATGACTCTGTCCCTCTGTGCCAGAAAACCGCTGAGTGTGTTCCTACCCTCAGCTGCAGGTTGTAGGGTCAGTTTTAAAGGGATCTGGAAGAGATGGGTTAATGACTGTGCTTATATCTGAATCCTATTATGCCCTGGCCTTCTCACTGTGTCCTCATTGCTCTTAGAGGGCTTGGATGAAACTGAGAGCCTTACCCTGAAATGGTCCCTGGGACTCAGTTTCTCAGCCTATGTTGGGACCGCTCTCTAAAAGAGCCAGAGTTGGGGAAGCTAGGTGGCATAGTGGATAGAGCACCTGCCCTGAGGTCAGGTTCAAATCTGGCCTCAGACCAAACACTTGATGCTTACTAGCTGTGTGACCCTGGGCAAGTCACTTAACTTCAATTGCCAAAAATAAATAAAATAAAATAGCCAGAGCTCTTTTGTGTATGTGGGGGAGTTATGTGTCCAGGGAGAATCATGCTGAATGCATGTTATACCTGGACCCCGTGTATAAAAATCATGGAGAGATGTCCAAGACTCTGATATCTCTAAGAGCCTGTGCTCCATGGGATTACCAATTGCCAAAGTTTCCTTAGATCTTATTTGGTCCTTGACCTCCTTTCTCTCCCCCCACCAACCCCAGAATGTGAAAGACTTAGGCACCGGTACACTACAGTGGCCAAAGGTGTGGGAGGTTGAACTGGTCAGACTTAATTTGTGGTATGATTTTTTTTTTTTGGTCTAGGCAATGGGGTTAAGTGACTTGCCCAAAATCACACAGCTAGTAAGTGTTATGTGTCTGAGGCCGTGTTTGAACTCGGGTCCTCCTGACTCCAGGGCCAGTACTCTATGCACTGCACCACCTAGCTGCCCTGTGGTATGATTTGAGGGTTCCTATTTTCAAAATATCTCCTTCCCCAGTGATTAATTCCTTTGTATTTTGGGCTATCTTTCCGTCCTTTTGTAAGATCCATTAAGACCTTATGTCAAGGGCATTGTCAGCTAGGGTACTTGGATATAACTGAGGTTGATAGGCTGGACCAGGCTCATTTGTAACTCACCCCTCAACCTTCTACTTGACTTGTTCTCAGATTTACTCTTATCATCCTGAGTTCTAGTATAATCCAGGAGGTTATGTTTAGATGTTTTCTTATCAATTAATAAAGTTGCAGCCTCTTTCTCATGAATTTGTTGAATAAACTGGAGAAACCTTCTTTTCCAAGAGTTATTCATCTCTAGATGTTAAGTCACTTAATCTCTTACAATAGAATAAATATTAAGTTAATGAATATACAATTTATTAACAATAAATCAATAACAAAACAAAGGCATAGATAGATTATTTATAATGAACTCAAACATCCTCTATAATACCAGATGCCTTTTCTTCACTTCTGGAGACTTAATTCCACCATTTAGTTCACTTAAGATACTGATGAAGATTTCTCAAGAATTCTCTCCACATTTCTCTTCAAGAAAAAAGTTTTGAAGAAAATGTTATTTTGTTCCTTTTCCTTGCTCCTCTCTTCAGCCATCACAGGTGAATTAACATGGCAAACTGAAAGTTCCTTACAGAATCTTCATGGAATTTTTGTTTCTTCCTATAACAAGTCAAGACAGTTCAAACAAGAAATTCCTCCTAATATTTTCTCTGTCTCCTCTGCAGATTCTTCATAGATTCAAGTTAACCTACATACATTCTTTAACTTTATTAGGGAGAGATATCTCATAGAGAATTACAATTATAACTTTAAACTGTCATTTCAAATTGCTGTTTCCCTCTTCCCATATTCCATTTGGACATTAAAGATACAGTCTAGCTGTATCTTAGTCTAGCTTACTAGGTGTTGCATATGAATTTCAAAGTTTCCATTCACGTTGTATTCTTTTCATGAGGAATGTTTAAAGTTCTGTATTCTATTAAAGGTTTATTTCCATGTTCCCCCCCCCCACTCCCCTCCTATTATATTTAGTTTGGGAGGGGTAAGTTGTTTGGGTTGTAAGCCTTTATCTTTTTCCTTTTGGAATATTATAAAATTTTCTCTTCTTTAAAGTTGTTGATGCTAAGTCTTCTCTGATCCCAGCTGTAGTTAACTGGTACTTGAATTCTTTCTTTCTGCCTGTTTATGGTATTTTTCCTTTGACTTAAAAGCTCTGGATTTTAGCTATGACATTCCTGGGTATTTTCAGCTTGGGGTTTCTTTATAGGAAGTGATCAATGTATTCTCTTTAATTTTCAATTTGCCTTCTGGTTGTAGTAAATCTGAGCAGTAAATCTTTTTTTTAAAAAAGTGATTTCTCAAAGCATGCCCAAGTTTTTTGTTTGGTCATGATTTTTTTTCTGGAAGTCTGATGATTCATAAATGATCTCTCCTTGACTTGTTTTCTGAGTCAGTTTAAAATAATAGTAAATGCAGTTTTTTCTATTTTTTTCAGTCTTTTGACTTTGTTCTAATATTTCTTCTTGTCTCTTGTTTCAGAGCTACTTGGTTAAGGTTTTCTATCTTTTGTTCTAATCTATTTATTTTCCTTTTAATATTTTCTTCTTGAAGTTTAATTTTATTTATAATTTCTTTTTTTTATCTCTTGCTTCAGTTCTGGACTAGATAGAAGAGCTTCTATTCCTCCCCCCACCTCCAATAATTGATCTTTCTGGGATCAATTTCAATCATTTGCTGGGGGGGTTCTGAAAGAGCTTGATTTCTATACAATCTTGCACACTGACATCTTAACCAGAATTCCAAGATAATTTATATAAACCATAGAACTATACAAGTGAGATGTTTTTATTTTTGTTTTGAGAGTATAGGATACATAGAGGGAGGAAGCCAGGCACCAATAACAAACTTCCTACACTTGGCCTTTTACCTGAGGTTAACCCCGATCCTGACAATGATAGTCTCTTGCATAGAAATCCCTGGGGACATAAGAACAGTGGGTGAAAATTATTAGTAAAGCCTACTCCATTGATTTGTTAAATGGTTTAAATGAGAAGAGAGCCTGACCAAAGTGGCCCCCATCACCAGATTCCTTGAGAGCTCAAAGGTATTGTGTTGTGTTATAAGGGATTGGTAGGAGGAGGATTTGTTGGACAGTGACAATTGACCTGGCTTGTATATTTAGCATCAACCACAGTGAGGACAACCACCACTACCACACCAACCACCACAACTACAACTGTGACAACAAGCACAGGAAACACCACGGGAATGGTAAACAACTATTCTTTTGAAAGGTAAGGGAAACTGATGAAACTCAACCCCCCAGAATAGTACTAATGGGAACTCAGATCAATCAATGCAAGCCCTTGCCAAATGCATCTCAGCCATAACATGGCCCCATGGAAGATTGAGGAATCATTGACTCCTCTGATAGTCTACTCTTATTTTCTCTGGGGTAGAGAACCGGATCTTCTTTGTATCCCATCTTTGTGCAGGGCCATGCAAGTAGTAAATACATTTTTGTTTTGTTAGAGTTGCTTTGTCAGGACCTCTCCTACTTTCTACCTCTCCTGATTCACACGATATTATTTACTCCCTTGATGAGGCTTTCTCTTTAGTCTCTCAGCCATCATGTTGGTTCTTCTAAATGAGAGCTTCACTGCTGCTTGGTAGCCCTGACTTTTCACTGAATTCAGAAAATTGGAATTCTTTTTAGAAACTGAGATTTGCTAAAGAGGCAGCAATTTTTGTCATTGGGCATCTCCCTAGTTTCAGACATCACCATTCTGCTAAAGTATGTGAGCTGATGTGGTACAGTTGAAAGATCACTGGATCTGAAATCAGAAGATGTGAGTTTGAATCCATTTCTTCTTTTTGCTACTTGTGTGGCCCTGGACAAATCATTACACCGTCTCTGGGCCTTGGTTTCCTCCTCTGTAAAGTAAGGAGTTTGGATGAGATGATACCCAAGTATCTTCCCAGTTCTAAATCTAAGATTCTACAGTTTATGTCTATTGCTATCTACTCCCAGAAGTGAGCATTCCCTTAGTTGGGGTTTCCTTTTCTTTCTAGGTTTGAAATCACTGATCTCCAGGTCCTACTGCCCATCATCTTTGGCATTTTGTTGGTAATGTTGGTGGGGACCTCAATTCTGGCTTGGAGAATGATGCTAAGACAGAGGAAAGGTCAGGAGCCAGCCCTGGGTATGTGGAGGAGGAGAAGGGGATGAGAAAAATTATTATCTTCTGGATCATCTAAACATTTTTATAAGGTCAAGGGCAGCTATGGGTGGGTAGAGTCTCTAAAGTTGAAATGCAGCTTCTAACTTGAAGGGAGAAGGTAGAGAAGCTAATTGTGTGAGTCCTGAGGTGGCTAGTGAAGGGAAGTGGTACACACTATTCAAAACTAATTAATTAATTAATTAATTGATTATGTAAGATATGGTAATTAGTTCTAGCCCAATGGAAATACACAGTGTAAATCTGAATAATGTAATCCTCGGGGATTCATTATTGGTACTAATCAGGACCTGGGCATAGATGACTTTTTCTACTCCTCCATTCACCATATTACCAGATGATTACTTTCCTGAGTCACTACCTAGGGAACTGATTCCTGAATCCTGGCAGGAAACCAGGGTCACATATCTGGGGCCCTGGTTGTGTGGTTTCTGTTCTTTTAAACTTGGTGGATTTCCCATTTAGGCTCTGAGCTTCAAAGAAATTGCCTTAGGCTCACTTAGGAGCTGCTCATCTGATCTAGGAGATTTTATAAGCGTATATATGTGTGTGTGTGTGTATATCTCTCCGTGTGTATGTGTATGTGTATATATATATATGTGTGTGTATATGTGTATATATAATAGAATTATACATAATTAATATATAAATATATGTGACACATGTTATATCAATATATTTATTGAATACATATTATATAAATGAAACTTACTATCCACTCCTTTATCTTACCCTTTTCTAAGCAGTTCTGCTAAATTTCTGTGAGCAGTGATTATGTGATTTTTAACTTCTGTCTGGAGATATTGGGTGTGTCTTCCATCTCTGCATCCAGACTGGGAGGGGTGGTCATCATTGAAGAATCTTCCCCACTTCTCCCTGATCTGACAATATCCCTTATCTCATAATACTACACTGTTCTTTCATAAGGGATTAGTTTTCTATTTCAGACTGGTGGGAATTGTGTAATTTTCCTGTCTAACTCCACTTCCACATTTTCATATTTGACACATTTGTTCTGGCTAATTCTCAAAACCTGCATATGTAATGAATTAAGTCTTCTCCTTGTTATACCTATATCTTATTGCTTGATGGTTGTGGTGGCTAGGGGAGAGATGGGAGGATGTCTCCCTACCTTTGGATGGAGAGAGGCCCAAAGTATTTAAATTCTCAGTCATTCAGGAAGAAATCAGGGAACTTAAAACTAGAATCCATATCACCTAATTTTGCTAACTCACCCAAAGATGCTTTAGAAAGTCATAAAGAGAGAAAAGTGTTTCTTAAACCCAAACTATAGTGTGGTTTGGGACTAGAAAATCTCACTTAAAAAAAAAACAAACCTTTGAACTAAGATTCTTTTTGTAGCCTCATGGGGAGGCTTTCTGGTATCAAGGGGTGAGAGGCTGATTGGTGAAGCAAAGAGAGGGTGGGATGAGGTGAGTAGGAGGAGGACGTAGGGAGGAGAAAGAATGATTTGTTTTAAGTTTATATATTTTGAGAAGTAAGACCTTCTGGCAGTAAAAGTTTTGTAGATGGATAAAAATTGTCCATTGGGAAATACTGGTATATATGAACTCTTATTGGACTTTGAGTCAGAATACTTGGGTTTCAAGTCCAATTCTGCCACTTACTAGCTGAGTAACCTTGAACACATCAGATAACCTCTCTTTAGTTTCATTATTTATGTTAATAATACTGCATTTCTGGAGCAGTTAAGTGGCAAGATGGATAGAGCACCTGCCCTGGAGTCAGGAGGACCTGATTTAAATGTGAACTCAGAGACTTGACACTTATTAGCTATGTGACCCTGGACAAATCACTTAACCCTGATTGCCTCCTAAAAATTAAAAAAAAATACTCCATTACTTTTCTCTTAGAATAGGTAATATCCAGTGGTGTACTGGCAAATATTTAATAACCAGATCTCCAGAAGAAAAAAAAAATAGCACAACACACTGTTTCATTTTATCTGCATTATTAACATTTTCTCTATCACTTTCTTAAGTCTAGATTATCAACAAAGCAATAAATCAAGCCCTGATTCATAGTATTTGCTGATTTGTGAAGTGTGAATGCTTACACTGAAAATTTAACTATCTGCTCTCTGAGCAGGCTGGTTCCAGTTGGTTTCAGCACACCCCTGATAATAACTATCCTCATATAGAGTTGTATTGGACAAAGAGGACCATAGGATTTAGAGCTGGGGGAGGGGAGGAAGGGGCCCTTAGAGTTCAATTAGCTAAACACATATTATGGATGAGAAGTTAGTCAAAAAGCTTTGCAATCATAGGTTGCTATATAGACACAAATTCTTATCCTCCATTAGTCTCTCTTGCCTTTCTCTGTGAATGATGGGGCATTCTCACTCTAGGCTTCTAACTCTTGGCTGTTTTTATCCTTTTTAGAAGCTGAAAGACTTGCTGAGCCGGTAAGAAAGGTTTCTTTATCATGGGGGTGGGGGAAAAAAGTCTCTCTATTCCAAAAGATTTCATGTGAATTGAACTCAGCAGAGAATATTGGGTGTGTTCTGCATAACCTACCAGAAAAGGCATATGTACATGTGCTGTAAGGACTGGGGTCTCATTGGCCAGTCCCACATTATACAAATATTTACCCTATCTTATGAGGTACAAATTGAAGGTTTTTAAACCTCACAATAGCACTTGGAGAAGGTAGCTTTGTCGAGGGAGACCAGGAGAATCAGTAGGAATTGGAAGGAGGGACACCCAGGCAGTCTTTGAATTCAAAATGAGGATGGAGCAGAATCTGATGGAGATAGAGTGGGGAAAGAGGTGTTAGGAAGTGTTGTGGTATTGTACTGATAGATACCTGTGGGTGGGGAGTTCTTCACCAAAGAGAGGTCTGTCATAAAAAAAGAGGAACTTATGGTCAATCAGGAATGGGCTCATTCCCACAGAACTGGGTCATTTGTCTAGAGCACACAAAACTTTCAACAGGAACCCCAGCCGACAGAGGAAGGCATTTGTTATGCAAATCTGACCCTTCATCAGGGGACATCCAGAGACTCCCCTCTAGATTCTCCAAAGACAAAAGCTTCTTCTCTCCAAGCCTCCTCCAGAGTCAGTAGCATCCACGAGGAAGTGGAATATGTCACAATGGTATGTGCTAAGGTGGATCTGCTGTGTTTTAAATTCAAACCCTGATGCTGAAGGATATAGAGCACTTATTTCAGAGAACATCAAAAGTAAGTTACCCTACACATGATATAGTTCAAGTCTCTTATTTTTATAGCTGTAGATACTGAGTCCCAGAGAGTTGAAATACTTTCTAGGAATCACAGAACCTGAGTAGGAAGAGGTTTTTAAAGTCCAACCCATCTATTCTAGCCTATGCTGTTGTTCACTTGTTTCAGTTGTGTTCAACTCTTTGTGACCCCATTTGGGGTTTTCTTGACAAAGATACTGGAGATGTTTGCCATTTCCTTTTCTAGTTCATTTTTTTTTTTTTTACAGATGAGGGAACTGAGGCAAGCAGGGTTAAGTGACTTGTCCAGGGTAACACAGCTAGTAAGTGAGGCCAGATTTGAACTCAGGAAGATGAATCTTCCTGACTCTAGGCCTCTGTCCACTGTACCACCTAGCTGTTCTATTCTAACCTACGCTTAGGAACAAGTCTGACCCATATCCTCTATAAAATTCCTATGTGGTTGTCTACCCTTTGCTTGGCAAACTCTAATGATGGAGAACTCAGTACCTCCCGAGATAACTCATCCCAGTTTTCTTAAGGAAATTTTTTTCCTTCCATTACCTAAATTTGCCTCTCTGCAACTTTTATTTATTGCTCCTAGTTCTGTATTTTGGAGTCAAGGAATCCTTCTTTCATGTGTTAGGCTTTCGCAAACTTGAAAAGAACTATGTTGTTCCCGCCAAGTCTTTCTTGCCCTGGATTAAAAATTCCCATTTCTTTCAAGTGATCTTCATATTCCAAGATCCTTCACTGCCCTGGTAACCGTCCTCCCTCTGAATGTTCTCCCAATGTCCTTCCTAAAACATGTCACCCAGATCTGAACAAAAGACCCCAGTTAGGGTATGACCAGGGCAGAGCCTATTAGGATGATCACCTCCGTTCTTGTGAACATTATACCTCAATGCAGCTAAAAATCAGTTTAACTTTTTGGTTTTCCAAATCATACCGTTAACTCATAGTGTGCTTATAATACACTAAATCCTCCCCACACTCCCTGATCTTTTTCATAGGAAGACATTTAAATTTTTTTTCTACTAAATAGTATTTTTCCAATTGCATGTAAAGACAATTTTTAACATTCTTTTTTTATATAAAATGTTGACTGCCAAATTTTCTCCCTCCCCTTCCCCTTCCTTAAGATGGTAAGCAATTTAGAGGCAGCTAGGTGGCGCAGTGGATAGAGCCTCGGCCCTGGATTCAGGAGGACCTGAGTTCAAATTCGACCTCAGACACACAACACTTACTAGCTGTGTGACTCTGAGCAAGTCACTTAACCCCATTGCTTAGCCAAAAAAAAAAAGATGGTAAGCAATCTGATATAGCTTTTACATGTGCAATCATGTAAAACATTTCCCTGATCTTTTTTTAGATGAATTGCTGTCTAGCCTCACCTTCCCCATATGGTCTTTAGGAAGTTGATTTTTTGAAGCCAAGTATAAGACTTCAAACTGACCTTTTTCCAGTTCCATCTGAGTAGATTTGGCCCAACATCTTCATTCTGTCATTCAATATGTTAGTTGTCCCTTCTAGCTTCATTTCATCTGCAGTTTGAATATACATACAATCTATGCATTTGTCTAAACCTTTGATTATTTTAAAAAAAAGTTAACTAGCATAGATCCCTGGGGACACTCCATTAGAGAACTCCTTCCTGGTTGATAATGAATGATTAGTCTGACCATTCAACTAAATCTGAATCTACCTCACCGTATCATTGTTTAACCCTTAAGGATGTAGGGTTAGCTCTTAATTCTGCTTGTTTTTGTAGTACTGATGAGCTAAGAATGCTTTTTATATATTAAAACACAATAAAACTTTATTTAAAAATAGAAAAATCATTCTCTGCTAGCTGCCCATACAAAATTGACATTGTTTGCCAATCCCTGGTCTAGCCCAAACCTTGCCACCATGTCCTGAAGAATGGCAGAAGAAACTTTGTCAAATGTAAAAATCTAGATAAACTATATCTATTTTATCCCACCATCTCTACCTCATTCAGTGGTTCAATAACTACTTTTAAAAAGGAAATTATGTTGGTGTGACATGGTTTGTTCTTGATGGAGCCTTTTTTTCAGTCCAATTCCTTTCTTTCACACCTGAGGAAACTGAGGCCCTGAGAGATTAAGTGACTTACACAAGATCATACAACTATTAGTGGAAGGTCTAGGATTCAAACTCAGGCCCTTTGACTTGAAATTCAGTGGTTTCTCTACAGCCATGCTGCTCTCTTTAATGACAGTTCTTTACCTACTAAACTTCAGTCCCTTTCAAGCTTGAAGTCAAGTTGCCTTCATCTTCCTTTTCACCTCACTTCCCCCTTCTCACTTCTCATTCCCCCTACCCCTGAGTCATTGGCCCTTAAAGTCAGTAGAGCTGCTGGGAGTAAATTGAGGAGTGCTGAATCCCCACCAAGTCGCCATGTTCTAGATAATGTAAGGGGGAGGTATTGGCCTTTTTCTCTGTTTCTTGTGACTCTACATGACCATGACCCAGACCCAACATTCCCTCCCACTCCATTCCTTTCCTGTCAAGCCTCCCTCTGACTGTTTTGATTTGTTTTGCAGGCTGACCTCAAAGAAAAGGATATATCCTATGCTACCCTATCTCTGGATACCCCAGGCCAGAACCCAATATACTGCAACACAGAACAACTGAGCTCCCACTATCCCCTGAGAAATCCTATTGAGAATACTGAATACAGTTTGTAAAAGAAGATTTAGTTTCTCTCTTAGTACCTTCTTGTCAGACCTTAGCTCTGCCTTGACTTGTTTTTTCCTTCTTCCTCCTCTTCTTTCACCTTCTTCCAAGGACATGTACTCTGGCCTCTGGCTAAAGAACATGCTTAAGTAGAAAATTCTAATTGGCCTCATGTTTTCTTGGGTGGTGGAGACTGTCCATTGAAAGAGGAGCTGCCCACTTGGTAAACTTAAAAGAAAAAACAGCTTCCATTCATTCCTTCCTTTTCTCTTTTTGGAGTGTGACATTTGGGCATCAGAAAGCCTTTCCCTATGACTTCTAATGAGGAGAGAGGGGAAATTCTACACCTTACCCCCAAGCAATGACAACTGCACACAGTCTGCAACAAGAACATAATGGGTCTGAGACTGGACCTCAAGTCGCTGGCTGACTCTTCTGCTTTGTGTTTCTTGCCCTGAACATGGGGGATTGAGCAGTGATCCTGAGATAGATGTTTCTACCCTTGCCAGAAGCCTTGTAGGTTCAACATGTTGGGAGTCATTGAGTCTACATGTTGGTCACCCAGAAGGAAGTGATCAGCACAACTTCTTGGAGGAGAGATGACTACTGCCAGGAGGACACTACAGATAAAAGGACTAAGAAAGTCTATGCTCAGTCCTGGCTTGCCAAGAGATCTGGACTTGTGCATAGGGCAAATGGTATAAGCTAGAGAGGAAAGTGAAAAATTTGTTCAGCAGTAGTCTTCATTTCCTGTGAGATTATAGTAGTAATTATGTGTTATTGTATTATGTTTTAAATATTTGTTAAAGCGTAGTTAAAAGTATTTGGGGTTTTATGTATTTCTTTTTTGGCGGAAGAAGTAAATAGATGTCCTATACCTGATGTACTTTTCACATCGAGTACTTTTCTAGAATGGACCTTATCAATCCCTTTTGAGGAAATCCCAGACATGAGTCATTACTAAGCTTTATCTGTGAGATTTATTGAGGTAGAGAACATGAGAAAAGCTTGATTCCTTCTCTTAGGAGAGTAGGTATCCCTGGGATATAATCTCAATTTTTACAAGGTCAGAGCTAGGGAACATTGGTGAAAAGAGAGTTCCCTTCCTTGGAGGTTGGGGGGCACTGGACTGTGGCTCTTACACATATGAACCCTTTCAAATGAGGTAGCTATGTGGCACTGTGGATAGGGCATTGGGCCCCAAGTCAGGAAGTCCTGAGTTCAAATCTAGTCTCAAACACTTACTAGCTATGTGACACTGAGTAAATCACTTAACCTCTGCCTCAGCTTCCTCAATTGTAAAATGAGGATAATAATAACATGTACTTCTCAAGGTTGTTGTAAGGATGAAATGAAGTAATATTTGTAAAGTACTTAGCACAATGCAGGCTGACATATAATAGATACTTAGTAAATGCTTGTTTCCTTTTTATTTTATTTAAATTTTTCACATTATCCTGAAGTTTACATCAACTTAAATATTCCTATATACACGAAAAAGAGAAAGAGGATAGTGCATGAAACCATGAACCTATCAAATATAGCTTGCATTTATAACAAACACATTAATTTAAAAGCTGTCATTCCTCCCCAAAGCTACCTTTGTTTATGTCTACTTCTGAACCTCCTTCTGTTCTATTCTGAACTTTTAAAAAAATGTTCCCATCACCCTCTTTTCTTTCTTTTCTCCTGTTTTGGGGGGGCATTATTTTTTATAATCCCTAACTCTCCCAATCTACCACCCCCTTATTAAAACAAAACAGAACAAAACCCTCCATTGTAACAAATAAGCAGAGTCAGGCAAAACAAACCCACTCATTGACCATGTTCAAAAATATATATTTAAAAAAAAATATGGAGTGCATGGTACCAGAGGCATTATGTTAGTTAGGGATGTGAATGGGGGAAGGGAATAGCTAAATAGGCATCTTGCCAGTCCAAAAGTCTAACCTACTCCTTCCCGGTTATATTCCTCCATTAGAACACTTGGTTCTTTCCCAGGCCTTCCCCTTGCGGTGCTACACTCATCTTTCTCCATCTCCACTCCTTGATGAACCAGTTCAACTCTACACTGTCCTCTTTTCTTGAGTCCCTTGCCCCCTTATACTATTGCCAGACTTGCCCTGCAGAGCCTCAACCCTAGATTATCCCCACTATTCACCGAATCATTCCTGTTCATATGCTGCTGAATAAAGCTGGAGAAAATCATGAAATTCCTGATTGGATCCACTACAAATTTATGCTGTGTAATCTCTACTGGGTCCTCACTGCAGCAAAGCAATGCCTTTACACCTCCCTAATTGACTCACTATCCCATTCACCCAGTGGTTTGTCATCCCTCCTCAAGCATCTTCTAGCTCCTCTTCTCCCTACCCTCTCTGCTGAGAATCTTACCTTATATTTCACTGAAAAAAATTAAGGCCGTCTGCCAAGAGCTCCCTTTTCTCCCATTCCTCTCATCTCATGTCACTCAAATGTTTCTTGCCACCATCTCCATTTTCACTCCTGTTTCCCATAAAAAGTTGGCCCTTCTCTTTGCCAAGGCAAACCTCTCTACATGCACAAATGATTCCATTTCACTCCATCTTCTCCAGAACATTGTTCTGCTCCAGTCTTTCTAGGGTATGATGTCAAATTATTTTCGAAAATTGCTGGACCAATTCCCTGTTTCTATCAAGGGTACCACCATCCTCCCAGTCACCCACCATCCCTCCCATCCACCCAGTCATCTTTGACTCCTCACTCTCTCTCATGCCCCATATCCAATCAGTTTCTAAGTTCAGTCAATTTTACCTTTGCAACATCTCTGGTACACGTACATTCCATTCTCTCCTCTGACATTGCTACCTCTCTGGTACAGGCCAACATCTCCTCTCTCCTTGATTATTGCAATAGCCTGATAGTTCATCCGCCTGCCTTGTCTCTCTCTATTCCAATTCTTCCTCCCCTCAGCTGCCAAAATGCTAATAAACTCCTTTTGTTTTATTCCTTGAGTTTGTCTTAATTGACAAAGGCAAGGCCTGAACCAAGATGGCAGAACCTGGAGTTGAATCCAGTCCTCTGAATTTTAATCATTGCATTGATTTAACCGTGGTGTCTAAAGTAATTTTACCTTTAATTTATGACTTATTTTCCCTTCCATTTATCTGTGCAAAAAGAGAAACATATGACATACACATCTGTGTTGGACAGTCAGTAACTCACTTTTGGATCCAGAAACATAGAGCAAATTAAAGATTAGTGAAGGGAAATACCTCACTCTGGAGTTCCACAGAAATAGGTTTTCTAATAATAATAGCGCATACTATGTGCTAAGCACTATACTAAGCATTTTACAATTATTATTCCATTTCATTCTCACAACAACCCTGAGAGGTAAGTTATTATCCCCATTTTATCATTGAGGAAACTGAGGCAAACAGAGGTTAGGTAACTGTGTGAATTTGGGTAAGTCATTTAACTTTCCTGAAACTTCTTTTCCTATAAAAAGGGGCTGGGGGCTGGATAAGCTCTAAATCCATGATTATGTCATGGTCCATTATCAATGGGGCAACCATAATGTAAACAGAGGATCAGTATATACTAATGTTGGTGTTCTGTTTGTTTTTTGTTCAGTTGTTTCAATTGTGTTTGACTTTTTGTGATCCCATTTTGGGTTTTCTTGGCAAAGATACTAGAATGGTTTGCCATTTCCTTCTCCAGCTCATTTTTTACAGATGAGGAGACTGAGGCTGTTAGGGCCCAGCTCTGGACCGGGGCCTCCTGTAGGGTAGTAAGAGACGCCTGGAGGTTAGTACCTGCCCGAAAGGGTACTGGGAGTGCCTCAGTAACAGACGCTGGCTCCACCTACGAAGGAGGAACATGGGAGGAGTTCGGGCAAGTTCCACCCACGAGGTGGAGCTAGGGCTATAAGAGCAGGACCCGGGGGTGTCTGGGAGGAGCGGGGAGTCGGAGCCGGGGAGAGACCAGAGGCCGGGTCGATGGGAGGCAGGAGAGAGAGCAGAGGCCGGGACCTTGGGAGGCAGGAGAGCATGTAACCAATAAATCGTGTGCAGCTGCCAGCTCGGGTGTTCTGTCTAGTCATTCCCCTCCACCTTCGGAGGGGCCGGAGACGTCCGAAGACCGGGAAGGGTAAGTATCCAAGCGAAGGCTTGGGTGGGATAGCTGACTAAGTGCACTACGTCAGGCAGGGACCCACCAAGCAATATCCAAGCGATGGCCCGGGTGGGGTAGAGACCCTGGGCAGGGCCGGGTGTAGAGACCCCGGGCATGAGGCAAACAGGGTGAAGTGATTTGCCCAGAAGTCACACAGCTAGGAAGTGTCTGAGGTTGGATTTGAGCTCAAGAATATGAGTCTTCCTGACTCTAGGCTCAGTGTTCTATCCACTGTGCCACCTAGCTGCCACTAATGTTGCTAATACACTAAAATAAATTCCCAAGGATCTGAGAGCTAGGAGTCTAGTTCTGTGAGCTAAGTGGGATGCTGTCAAAGACCTGGAGGAAGAGAAAAATGTTTTGGGCCAAGGAGCATCAGGAATCTATTTATTGGCCAAAAAGATGTCAACCAGCATGGTTGCCATTGTTGTTCCTTTGTTCTGTAGTCAACCAGGAAATGTTTGAAAGTAGCGGTTAGGGAAACTTTTCAGACAGAAAGAGCCTGGGGGAAGATAAATTAAATAAAGACTCATTGGACAGAATGCAGGAGAAGAAGAAAACCACTAGGTTGGTATTAGCACATCTAGAGAGAGAGCATTTTTAGCCTGAAGGTGAAGGATGGATGTGGGGCCAAGTAAAAAAAACTGAGAAGCCAACCCTAAGGACCAGGACCATGGGGTTTGGAATCCCCCAAGGTCCTGGATTCAAATCCTAGCTGTTTTACTTAATACCTATATGTCCTTAGATAAGGCACTTAACCTCAGTGAGCCTCAGTTTCCTCATCTATAAAAAGGGGCTGGGCCGAGGTTCCTTCCCAATCTACGTCTATGATCCTGTAATCAATCATAAGATCATAGAAGCAGGACTAATGGAGTATTCTGGTTGGCTCAGAGGAGACCCAAGTTGGAATGAATAAGAACCAGACTAATTATTTCATTTGCATCAGGACCCTTAAATTGATAAATCAGGACCAATAAATTGATAAATTGATAATTGATAATTGAGAGGCAATGTAGCATAGTGAGTAGAGGACTGGCTTGGGAATCAAGAAGGCCTGGGTTCAAATCCTACTACACACACATAATAGCTGTGTGACTATGAACAGGTCACTTAGCCACTACAGGGAACTCTTACTCCAAGTTATGGCAGAGCTGTCAATCTGCATTGGGAGAGGGAATTATCATAATGGGAATTCCCCACACAGGCCTGGACCAAAAGAAAAAAAAGACAAACTCTGATTTTGTAACTTACTTACCAACACAATTTATACCTCGAATGATCATAGCATAGTTTTCCCCTCTCAGTGTCTGAGTGGGCCACACATAGGGCCTCCCCTAAATAGTGGAACCAGAGAGAAGTTAAAGTGGAAAAGCTTTTTTTTTTTTTTTTGAGGCAATCGGAATTAAGTGACTTGCTCAGGGTCACACAGCTAGTAAGTATCTGAGGTTGAATTTGAACTCAGGTCTTCCTGACTCCATGGCTGGTGCTCTGTCACTATACCACCTACTTGCCCCTAAGGCTTTGGTTTTAAAATTTTTGTTTAAAGAGGGGCCACTTACTAGCTGCATGACTCTGGGCAAGTCACTTAACCCCAATTGCCTAAAAAAAAAAAAAAAAAGAGGGCGAACCCTTATCCCCTGAGTGGTGGTGAAAAACTTGTGGTAGAAT